TATAAATAAAATTACAAATAATATAAAATTTGTGATGTATGAAAGTAAAGTGACAAATTACAAGTGTAGAAAATGTTTAGCTAAGAATACTAATAGAGGTGCGGGGGACTGGTAGGAGACTGGAAGGTCATTTCATAGATGGCCACATCAAGTCATCTTGCATAAACTGATCGAGCTCCATTTTGAAACCAGTTAGGTCTCTTATTCACTGCTCCTATTGGAAGGCTGTTAAAGAACCTCATTCTTCTGAAGTTAAAAACTTTCTGTTTCCAGCGTAAATCTATTGCTGGCTAGTATGTGCCATCGTTTTCTTATGCCAGCACTGTTCTTTAATTTAAATAGCTGTTCTCTTTGTCTGGTATCTGCTCTTCATAAATGTATCAAATGGGTTTTCCTGTCCCTTCTCAGCTTGTGTTTTGTTAAGGTAAATCATATTCTTTCAGTTTCCTTTTGTAAGATATAGACTTTCGAATTCCTGATCATACTTGTCTGTCTTTGCACTTTTCCCAGTTCTAATCCAAGTAACTCTAGTCATATCAGAAAATTTCTGATCACTTACTTTAAAAAATGCACGTGCAGCTGCTGGCGATGGCGGTCTTGCCTTAAGGAATCAAACAAAAGTAGAGGAACAGTATTTGCATTTTTAGATGGTTTCAGAAATTTGGTTCAAGTTGAAATAGAGATGTGAATTTGAACTTTCTACAAAGCTGTACTAAAACATAGCACCAAACTAAGTCTTTTATAGCAGTCCATGAACAGTAGTATAATAATAAATAGGTATATAGAGATGTTCAGTCAAGAGAATAACAGGAACCTTTCCACAATCCCTGTCATATGTTATATCAGTGGCACTACCGTAACCCAGGGTTCCCTGGACCAGAATAAATATTAAAATACATGCTTAATGATCTCTTAGAAAGCTGTTGTATGAGGATATGATACAGAAATTTGCTAGCAGTGTAGATCCTACAGGTCAACCTAAAAAATCAGAGCTTCCATTTAAAGCTCTCATGTAATGTACTGCAATGCCCAGGAATATATAATTTTAAAGGCATTTGGTTTCTGTGATTTTTTTTTTTTAGTCCAGTTGGAAGCCTTAGAATATTGGTAAAAGTTAGGCCTTTGCATGCAGGAAAGAGCCAGTAGATAATTTGTATTCTGATATAATCACTTGACTGTTTGACAGTACTATATGAGAAGAAAGCCTAATGCCATTGTCAGCAACAGTTGGGACAAAATTCCAAGACTCTTCCTGCCAAATGTATGCCTACACATGCATACGCATGCTTTTTACACAGGCATTTAACTGGATTGATAGAAGATTCATTCTAGGTTGTCAACTCATTAAAAATAACACTAAACGTATGAAGCTGACTCTGTACTGAAATGGCAAAATGTATTCATCTCTGTTGCAAAGTACTAGAAAATCAAAACTGAATCCTATTAAAAAAATAACCTGTTACCTCATATTAGTGATGCATGATATATGGGCGTCAACGATGCTGACCTCTTCACAGATAGAACAATCTAAAATATAAAAATCGAAAAAAAACCCCTAAAATATAAAAGATTAATCTAAAATATATAGATGGAGAGAGGGAGGGGGGGAGGGAGAGACGGAGATATCAAAGGTCATAGACCAGTGGGGCCTAACTTTTTGGCATGTGTGCCGCAACGTAAGCTCTGCACTACCCCATGTGTCACTCCACTCCCTTTCCCCTGCCTGATCTGCTGCTCTGCTTTCTATTTCCTGCCTTATCTGCCATTGTGTTCTCTTCCTCCTCCCCAGTCTGACACGTCATGCACACAGACTGCCCATGCCTCTCGTGGTACGCATGCTGTGGGGTGCCCATTCCTGTAGCAGGCCATTTAACCCCAATTTATTGTTTTTGAGATATTAAACAGATAATTTTCTCTAAATCCCTGAAACAGAATTATCCCATTGGTGGTAGCTTTGTATTTGTTATAAAGTAATCTAATGGCAGATTCTTATCAATACGGAATTAGCATTGTAGTTCTGATGCAGCATCTGCAGTGCTGACAAGAACAGAAATACGCTGGAAATTGAAATTACAAAACAGAGTTTAGAGCAGGGGTGGACAACTATTTCAGCTGGAGGGCTGCTTAATGAGTTCTGGTGAGCTGTGGAGGGCTGCAAGGATAGCCACACCTCTTGACAGGTGCCCCACCCCCTGGTTGCTATCTTGGGACCAAAAGTCCTGCCCCTGACCTTTGCCACCAGAAGTCCCTTGCCCGCTGAAGTACTCATTTTGGGAGGGGGGTTGCCATCTTGGAACCAGAAAAAAAAATTGTATACCTGAAGTCAAACACCTACTATAACGTATTTTAATTTTATTATAAAAAATATTTTTGTCATGATTTGTATTTGCGTAGTGTATGTAGAGATGATTGCATAATAATTAAAAAATAAAGTCTTACTTTTGTATATTGAGGGTGTAAATGTGGGGGTTGTGAGGGGGTATGGCTGTGTGTGCAGGGCATAGGGTGTGTCAGGGGAGTGTATATAGTGGGGTTGTGGGATATGGGGACCTCCCCACTTCCTCTCACCGCCACCCCCAACCTCCCCCATGGCACGCAGGTGCCACCCAGCTACATGCAGCTCTGGCTAGTGCTGCATCTGGTGGCAAGGCCGGCCCATCTCTATCATGTGGGGCTCCCCACGGTTCGTGCAGCTCCCAGCATTCACATGCCACCAGGGTATGTGCTGCATGATGGAGCTGACTGCCTTCCCCACACCCTGTCGTGCAGGTCCTGGGACCCTGCCGGGAAGCAGGGGGCAGTGCTCCCCTCCACTTCCAACACAGTTCTGGGACCTGGATGACAAGGGGTGGGTAAGGCTGTATTGCGCTAGGCTTCCCCTGGTCACGTGCAAGTGCCAGGAGCTGCACATGCACTGCGCAGAGCCCTATATCACAGAGATGGGCTGGCCTGGCTGCACTCCTTGCTACCGCATGCAGTGCTGGCTAGAGCCACGTGCTGTCAGGCAGCGGAACCTGCGCGGGCCACAAGTGCCCACTGCCCGCTGCTGCTGCCGGTGATGTGGCCTGTGCGCCATGGGGGGCAGGGGGTCCCCACACCTTCCCGTTCTCCCTCACACCCACACCCTGCCCACCCGTGTCCCATGCTCCCACCAGACCCACACTTGTCACTTTGTCACTCCTGCCCAGCTGCAGCCCCCCAGCCACTTCCCTACCTGCTGCCCAGAGTGAATGCTGCAGCAGGGAGATGAGCCACTGGACACAAGAGAAGCCAAGCAGTGGCAGCGGCCCCTCCAAGAAGCTGTGTGGGAAGGGTGGGAGCAAGGCACGTGAGCTGGGCAAGGTACAGTTAGTTGGTGAGTGCCCATGGGCTGTATTTTCCCCACCCCTGGCTTAGAGAGACCCAGGAAAAAAAGGAAGTACAGTATCCTTTTGGGTATGGACAAAATTTGAAGTTAAACTGCAACTCTGGTTCACAAGCAGATACAGGGTTAAGATCATATAGTTGCTCAGAAGTCGCATTTGGACTTGGTTTGTTTGCTGCTTCTATCTAAAACCTGCTTACCTCTCTTGTGTCTTCTGCCTAGCCTCAGGGCAGTGGTATGTTTCTTGAAAGCATTGTTGCTCCAGGTCAGCCATAGGAAAGAAAAAGAAACTGCACCACTGACAACTTAGAATAGCTGCACTAGGAAATTTCCTATGGTTTCTAATTCCACCTCCTGGGAAAGCTTGTTACTAGGCTCGAAATACCTGCAAAATGGATGTTTAACGTAATGTTTCTCATATGTCTTTTGCTCTTAAAAAGTATAAATCTGTGGAGAAATGTAATCTGTTTTTACTTGTTTAAAAGTGAGCTTTGGAAATAAAGTAATCTACCCCTCCCCC